ACAATGCAATTGAAATAATTAATTAATCATTTAAAGAGAATTTAAGCGTTGTCTTCAAAACTATTAAATTGACTTAAATTTCTGATGACGTGGGTATATAATGATAGATTCTATTATTGATTTGAAAAAGATGTAAACTTCTCCAAAATAATGATAGTTTCAGGTCCAACACCGTCAAAAAACACCCTCATATTCTGCTGCTTATATTTTAATTGATTTTTCATCGATTAGTCTGGAAAAATCAAAGTTGCATGTATCAATAATAATTCCAGGGAAGAAATTTTATTGTTGATGTATGACAATATATCAACATCGATAAAAGTAAACAATTTTCGCAAGTATAAATGTATGAACTATGGTATATATTTCATGGCTTTCCTTTTCATATGTATGGAGTATAATATTTGTATCAAAATTCTGTCATCAGAGTAGACTCGCGTTTATAAAGGACATTATCAAGAAAATACATCATTTAATGTCGTCCTGTTTTAAATCTAATAATGTTTTAAAACAAGATCACACTTCTTAGAATAATGTCATAACTTGCAAGTTTACCGGTTTTTTTCTGTTAAAATGTAGCACAGTCAACACACGGCTCTAAATGTTCAAATTTATCTGTTGAAAATTGTGAATATACATTTTAAAAACAATATTTATCTGCAAGACATTAGGGTGCAGCTTATAATGACACAATTACGTGCCAAAATAATACAGATGGGCGTCTTTTGAAAGTAAGGAGATTCAAGTTATCATATTTCTGTCTAAATTGAACCTATTCATCCAAATTGATTCTTTCTTGTACAGACTCATTACCTCGTAAATATCTTTTACGATGCTACTGTATGAACTGTATACTAACGCTATTTTCCCAAGGGTCTGTCATAAAAGGGACATACGTCGCATGAAAGCCTATACATTTCTTTAGTTATATATAGATCAATAACATACCTTATTCTGATTTTTTAATAGCAATCTTTTCAAATTACCGAAATTGTTATTGCGTTTGACTTATAATCATGATAATGTTTCAGCCTACAAATAGCTATTAATAATTTTTCCCTTTTTCAATATTGATAGTTATTGGAAACTAATAATGTAAATTATATTTACTTAATATGCTGGCTTAAATGAACAAGTTTGATTTCCATTATAAGCTAGTGACATTTAAATGGGAGAAAAAAATCAAAGTGGCAAAAAAATTTGAGTCTGGTCAACAACTAACGCCCACGTGGGAACTTGTATTGCATCTCAATGAGTGAAATTAGGTTAACAGCTATTACTGAGGTACAGCTGACATTTTGTATAAAATAACCTGTCTAAAAATTTGACAACCACATCAGAAATTCATCTTTCTTCACTAATTAATTTATATTCGTTGAATAATAATAATAATAATAATAATAATAATAATAATAATAATAATAATAATAATAATAATAATAATAATAATAATAATAATAATAACAATAGTAACAACAATAATACAAATAAAAACAATAATAATAATGAAAAGATTATTTATTTTTAACATATGCTGTCAGTCCAAATTACACGCATGTATTAAAAGAATGATACAACCACAAAACATAAGAATTATAGGATTAACACACTGGTTCTCTCTCTTTTAAAGCTTGTGCAAGATAAATATTAAAACTATATATGATATTAATATTATTAATAATTCTCTAGATAAAGCTAAAATACTTCATGCAATTTGCGCTATAGTGAATGCATGAAATAAATAATAATAATAATAATACTAAAAATACTACTACTACTACTACTACTATTATTATTATTATTATTATTATTATTATTATTATTATTATTATTATCATCATCATCATTATTATTATTATTATTATTATTTAGATGAAAAGCCTCTTCTAAAGTGGAAACCATGACAATGTTTCTTTTCTAGGTACTCTTTCTCATCTAGACAGCTTAACACGGAATTCTTCTTCATTAATGACCCAACAATTAAACATCAGCAGACAATTTGATGCACTGTATCAGTTTTTGCTTGTGGCTCTATGTAGCATTCACATTTCCGATTATCAGGATAACTTTAGTTTATGTTTCGTTTGGCGGAGACGATAACACGGCTCTTTTCGTCAGAGCATTAGTAAGATCAAGCAATTAAATCAGATAAATTGAATCGCACATTTTAGCATAGCATAACAACAACATGTTCAAGAATTTTAAAATAAGGATAATGATGATTTAATTAATCTAGGCATCTTTTGTCACACAAATAACTTAACGCGAGAGGAGTTACATTTTACGTCATGCAATAAAAGTGTTCATCGTAGGGGAAACAATAAACAGGTGTACATTACGACATGTCAACATTGAGAGAATACGAACGAAAATTGCAATTGAAAATACATTATGTCCACTAGACTAAGTGTAGTTTCACTCAGCGTAGTAATATCTTCAATTCGAAATAAAATCATATATTTCTTAATATTGTGTTACGTATATGCGATTAAATTGCTTGTGGGTAAGTTTTAAAATTATTTTTATTTCATTTTTATTTCGTTGTATTTTTATTCAGTGAATATTTTTGATGGATTTGGGATCCTTTTCCAGTAATGAGATATATTATTATAACAAAGTTTGTTTATTTAAGACGAATAAGTATTACGTGAGAATTATTTTTTTATTTATCTTAGTTCGTCTTTGGCTGGTAACACTGTCAACAGGAAGTTAAAATGATTGGTCAGTATCAGGGGCATACTTTCTTTGCGTGATCACCATGTATAAACAACATTTTTTATGATTGGATTTTAAGTGGGGACAATTTGGTCTACGTGCTAAAGCTAATGTAGTCAGAGACCACATGACCAATCTCGCAAGACTTGAAAAATGAAGTCTGGGGTTTGAAATACGCATTCCTAATATTTTTAGACAGAGTCATTCCAACATCTTGAAGGAACAAGGTGTATTTTTTCAGATTGTTTGTTTTACGTCTGATTTTTGGATTTAACAATTTGTTTTCCTGAAATTCTGAAAGATATTCATGGAAATTTATTCCGGAATTATTCAGAAACAAAGACTGTGATTTAAGTGATGAATTATTGATATTCGTATATTGGAACACATCTGACGTCACCGCCTTCCATATGTGTACGTCGTCGGGACTCGAACCTGGATTCTAATAGGACTATTTAGTGATAGGACTTGTGTTTTCATTCTTTGGATCAAATTATGGATTATATTAACAAACTATAAGTCCTATTTACCAACTTTTATATTGTTGTCTATGGAAATAAATTGTTTTGTTGAACTATACAAAGCTTGTTGGCTTTCACTATTTTCTTTGTTACTGAGTACGAGCCATTGTCACGTAACAATATAAATTTTATTGCAATCTTGAATAGGCAACATCTTATTTTCACTGTTAAGGTAAACTATGAAGTTTGTTTGTTTAGTGTTTAACAGCTCAGCAACACATGAAAGCAATATCGCCAAAGCGATCTGAGTAAAGGTGCTTACCCAGGGCCACACTACAGACAGGAACAAGTACTGATCTGATGTCAGAATTGGAACCCGTACCCATCTGAATGCGACCCCAGGATGCTAACTGCTAAGTCACTGCGGTTCCAAGTGAAACGGATAGCATTTCGATTTATACATTCTGCATAGATTTCTTAAAACCAGATATGTTTTTTTTTTTATAAAAATAAAAAAAATCGGGGATTAAACTGGAACAATTTTCGTTATGAAAAGCTGAATGTTGTTGAAAGGTAATACCTATCTTGAGAAATTCGAACATAAATAATGCATCGGGGTAAAACATGTGCATTTAATATCGAATAATCAAAGCTTAAAATGTACTGATGTTAACAGCAGAACTTTAATCTATATTTACGTCCCTAATTTGATGAAATGTACGACGCAAATTAAATAAAAATAGAAGTTAATGATACAATTCGAGGTAGCAATTTCTTACCAAGTTTCATTTTAAAACGCAATAATTTTCTATAATTGTACCGCGTAGATAAAAGTAAACTTCATGGTTCAATAACTTTCTCTAATTATACCAAATATATAAAGTATATTTTGTACTGCATTAACATTCTGTAATTACACCGTGTACATAACAGCATATCTTATAAATCAATCATTTTCTTTAACAATACATGTAGATAAAAGTATATTTTAAAATGCAGTAATTTTCTGAAATTATACCTGGATACTATGTTGACTTACAACCAAAGGTATCCATCAAAGGAAAAATAATTCACTCTCTTAATATGAACTTAATATGGCTTATCGATGTAGTTTCAGTTCTATATGATGTTTTCTTCATATATATCAAGATAATTTTAGACAGCTATATACATACTGGTTCAGAGACATCTGTTGAAGAACATGCACATGACAGTCAACACATATAAATGAAACAAAACCCTGTAAAGGAATACAAAAGTTTGTTCACTGGTTTATTTATTTATTATCGTTTTCATAAGTCTCTTCACCAACACTAAACTGAGATAGACTATTCTAAATTTTAAAGGAACACATCTATATCGTAAGAGATTTTGTTTATAAGTGGTTAACATTATTTATAGTGATGTAAGGCTTAAGAACCATGATGTAACTTAGTACTAATATTTGTGAAATGAAGATATACTAACGCGTAGCCTGTAAAACGGAAATCTGTTAATGGGTAGTTTGTAAAATGTGCCAAGGAAGAACTGTTCTTGTATAACCTGTTAAACGTAAAATAGAAGATGGGTTAATAGATAGTGATGTGATGTGATTATGATTTTTAACGTGGCTTTAACAATTTTTCAGTCATATCGCTACGATGCCTGCAGTGTGGCAGTTTATAGTGATGTTCATGCGGCGAATCATGCCGCAGACATGTAGCATAATGTCCCACCCAGTCACATTATCCTGACACCAGGCCGGCCAGTCCTAACACTAACCTCTTAGTGTTGAGCACCAAGCAAGGCAGCTGTTAGTACCATTTTAAAAAGTCTTTGGTATGACTCGAACGAGGCTAGAACTCACGACCTCCCGCATCCGAGGCGGACGCTCTAACCACTAGGCCAAAGGAGATGTTGTTAATGGAGTCTGTAAAACGTGCAAAGGAAAATATGTTAACGTTTAGCTTATAAAACTTGCAGAATAAATATTAATGTATAACCTGTACAACATGCAAAAAGGAAGATTTGTTAATGGATAGCCCGTAAATTGTGCAGAGAAAGATCTGTTAATGGATAGCCTGTAAAATGTGCAAAGAATGATCTGTTAATGGATAGCCTGTAAAATATGCAAATAAAGATATGTTAATGGATAGCCTGTTAAATATGCAAAGAAGGATTTGTTAATTTATAGATTATTAAACGTACAAACAAAAGATAAGTTAATGCTTAGCCTATAAAACATGCAAATAATGATAGACTGAAAACCTAGCAAAGGAAAACATACATAACCTTGTACATAAGGCAGATTAATTGAATCTGAAAAACGGACATATGTTAAGAAATTATAATAGTTAGGAAATGAACATTGTATTCATCACCCAATTGTAGAAACTTTTTGGTTTATTTCAGGACATGCTAAGCATCTTGAAATTGAACGAACTCTTTTTTAATGAAATATAACAGGATCGTTGTAAACCTTTTACCAAAATATTAGAAGAGTGTGTGACAAGATATTTCAATGAAAAATTTGTATTCACTGCCATACAAAGCTCTAATTCGAAATTGTCTACATAAATGATGAGAAGAAAATTTGCTTAACATTTTAAATGCCACAATTTTAAGGCTGTTATATACATATTGTATAAAATATTATCTTATATATAATGTCTATGACATTATTCTTTTATTCTTTAGCCATTAAATTCAACCAAAAGTTCTTTAATACAATTTCATTTATTTACATGTAAGATTTAATACCTCTTACTTTTTTCTTATTTTCTTTGCTTGAAATAAAAAAAGCTTGACTATCGTTTGGAGATTGAGGTAAAAATGAATTCTCCCAGCCATTCCTCTCTGATCTGCTTTCTTTTGTAAGTAGATGTCATGACAGGTCATTCCATGCCCTACATTATTAATTTGGTATTTAGTGCTGAAGATGACGGTGAATTTGATCTTCCTCCCTCTCGCCACAATGAATATCATCTATATAATAATTCATACCTGTGCAAACTCAATCGATCGGAAATGTTTCATGTGATGCGTAAGGTCGCAGACAAACTATATTTCATTTCTGTCATAAAACATATTAAGGTCTCTTTCGCCGCGTGATGGCGTTAACATTTCTCCATTAATTTATGGATCAATTAGATTCTTCATTGTGCCAAGTGATCCTTTTTAGCCCCTAATATCAAGCTTGATCCAAGGTATTTGATTATCTCCTAAGGGCTTTTTATAAAATAATACATTTAGCTTTCTTATTCAATGATCATGACAAAGAAGTTATGTTTTGCCTGTGGGTGGGTGGGGAAATAATATCAAGATATTCCCCGTGGTTCTGACAGAAATAATGATTTTAAGTTCCATCCCATTAAAACATGCCAGGATAAATCGGACTCATTCAGCTTTATTCAATATTGTCAAATTGGAAATTAATTGGCTGATAGTTCCTCACTGAATGAACAAATAACCACTGGAAGCAGGGATTTATGGTGATTAGACGATTCGATGTCATCAAACAATAAGCTGATGTTGATACAGGTGAATTAGTAGCAATAAATGGTAAAACTTGTTTTCGAATTCTTGTATTTTTTAACCTATACGTTTGATAATTGCTTCTAACCATGCGACAAAATCTACCCACCAATCTAACCATAAAAACAATATAATACAGTAGGCAAAATCTGCTTTGTTGAATATGTAGTATTACGAATGTAACCAACATATTGATCTCATCGTTCTCCACGGTACACATTCAAGACTTGTGTCCAATGTTTGTTGGAATTACACTCAAAGCAATTACAATTCTCTGCAGTATTTATTAAATCAAAATTGAAATGTGTCTACAATAAACTCCAGGTTCCAAATACTTTTAGATTGGTAGACCTGGTTTAATGTTTTGTTGAAAATTTTGGCGATGTCATTTTAGAAAACATATTTTTGCTTGCACTATGAAGACCGTATTTAAATTTTTTGGCCACTCGAGATATAATTAAGGACGTGAATGCCTGTTGTGTTCGAACACTATCAGCACCACAGTAGGTACATGCATTAGATTAAATATATTGATTTATGGAATACAATAATTGCACTCAATCAATATGGTCGTATTGCTTTGTATAATCCTGACCTCTTTAAAAAATCTATTAATTGGACTGTTTTGATAATTCATCTTTTATCATATGTGGTGACTTATTTAGGACAGGGAACTTGATACCTATAATATTATTCATAAAGATATCTAGAATGATCGCAATTTACCAGATCAATGGTGAGTTGTCAATGCAGATTCAAGATTATTTATTTGGAGACTGGCCAGTTCTATAAAACAATAATGATCAGACTATTTTCTGACCTTTTGAGGCAGGTTTTCATATTTAACAGATTCAACGGACCACTCTGTCATAAATTTCATCGTACCATTAACTACACCACCTGGATGTCATTTATACTGAAAAAAAACAATGAGGAACTATTAGCACAACCGGAATATACAAACTCAGAAAAACATGTGATTCAAATATAGTTGAAGAATGCTAGCACGAGAATCATAGCAATTATTCACCACAAGTACATTAAGATTCTCAAGATAAATTAAAAAAAAAACAAGAAGGAAACATTCTAATAATTCTAAAAGAATTGAAGCTGAAATATTTTGAATTCAAACAAATCACTTAATGAAAGAAATGATAAACAGATTAAAAAATAAATCACTAATAATAAAATCGAACTTAAAGAAATAAGCGGGAAAAATGGGAATAAAACTAAGAGATCAAAATTAAATGCTGAATACATTCTGTTTCATGAAAACATTTTATCAAAGCAAATTAAGTAATAACATCAGCTTTAATAACCAAATATGAAAGTATTAAATTATATTATAAGCGATTTACAGTAATGTTATTTGAGAGAGATTTATTGGTGAAAGTACTATCACATTATTTGATGAACTATCTCGATGAATCAGATCAGTCAGCCTTCCAGTTGTTCATTAATGTTGAGAATACATTTGATCACTGTAGAACAGGGCTGTCATGGAAAATGCTCTGAATGAGATTGGATTTGACGCTTTGAGAATAAGGTTGTTATGGAACATTATCCGAAAAAGAATGCATTTGGCCCTTGTAAAATGAGGCTGTTTTGGAAATTTCATTGAATCAGAATACATTTGGCGCCTTGTACAATCGGACTGTTTTGCAGTGCTCTTAATGAAAATGCATTTGACCCTTTTATAATTTCGTTATTTTGGAAAATTCTCTTAATGAGAATGTGCTCTTGAGAAGGCTATTGTGAACAATTCTCTAAATGGGAATGTTTTGACCCATTAGAATTGGGCTGTTTTGGAAAATGTTCTGAATGTTGAGGCATTTTAGCCTGCAGATGAGATATTTTGGAAAATTATGTGAAGGATAATATATTTGACAATTGTAGAATGGGCTGGTTTGGAAAATGTTCTGAATGCTGAGGCATTTTAGCCTGCAGATGAGATATTTTGGAAAATTATGTGAAGGATAATATATTTGACAATTGTAGAATGGGCTGGTTTGGAAAATGTTCTGAATGTTGAGGCATTTTAGCCTGCAGATGAGATATTTTGGAAAATTATGTGAAGGATAATATATTTGACAATTGTAGAATGGGCTGGTTTGGAAAATGTTCTGAATGTTGAGGCATTTTAGCCTGCAGATGAGATATTTTGGAAAATTATGTGAAGGATAATATATTTGACAATTGCAGAATGGGCTGGTTTGGAAAATGTTCTGAATGTTGAGGCATTTTAGCCTGCAGATGAGATATTTTGGAAAATTATGTGAAGGATAATATATTTGACAATTGTAGAATGGGCTGGTTTGGCAAATGCTTTGAATGAGAATGCATTTGATCCTTGAAGAATGAGGCTATTTTTAGAAAATGCTCTGAAATCTTTTGACTTTGGTGATTCTATTTGTAAGTGATCTAGATTATTTTGCGAAAAGCATCATCAATGATGGTTACTTGTATGATCTTCAATATACAGAGCAAGTGTAATGAAGGAGACCCCTTAGTTGAATACTTATTTATCATGACAATGTAACGTTTATCCACTGAACTCTAGAACAGTACTATTAATAGTAGCATGACAGAGAATATTAGCTGTGTCAGCATGCTGATATGACTATAACGATGGCTATCCACGCTCTTTCATCTACCATCAGAGCTTCGAGGATTTCAAATTCGTCTTTGTTGTACGTTGTAATTAAGGTATCCAAATGGGAGACAACAACTGTTCAGAAATAATGATGCCCATATATTGAAATAATTTGGTCCACATCTTTGATTTACTTTCAACAAAACGTTTCTTCAACTTAGATTAATTGTTACGATGAAATAATGAAAAATTAGTTTTAAAAGAAAGCACATATATAAATAATTAACAAAACTTCTGTTTTGCTAGATGAGAGGAAGGCTTTCAGTTATTCTAAAAATAACTTTGTTCAAATCATTGATTTTGCAAAATTTTATTCATATCTTCTAAATATTCCCAAATCATCCATTTTTATAGAGAAAATTCATTGAGCAAAATAAATTATTTAATTTATTCGGATGCGTAGAATCTAAAGTTATAAAGAAATGTACTTGTAATTCCATCTACAGATGAGGACAAAGACATTTTTCTATTCATTCTTAAATTCAATATACCAAGATTACTTATTGCAAATTCTTAATTACAAACGAAGAACAGTCTATGCCATAATATGGCTAAACGTCTTAATGCAGAGGCATTCAGATATCAAAATTAGTGAAGGAAAAATCAGGAGAGATTAGTAAATTATTGGTAATAAATTCTGACATGTATACCATGCATAGTGGAGTAATGCTTCTAAAGTTTATTAACATTGGTAACTTTTATTCCTATATCAAAAAAGAAGA